AAAAAAAAACAGCAAATCACTGATCCCACTAATATGGTTCATAAACTATAAAATTTTGGCCTTTGGGAAATATAATACTGATAACAACAATCACAGTGAATGTAGTTTATTCTTCTCAGTAAACATGGAGCTGTGTCCTCAAGCATTTACAGACAAAAAGCTACTCTCCAGAGATCACAAACACAGCTGAAAATGAAAAACTACTTCTTTGCTTATGTTCTGTGCAAAGAAAACACACCCATACTTTAATATTTGTCAAATATTATGCTTTCTATTACATATGTGTATGTTATAGTGCTGTTGTGTTGTTAATCTGACCAGTCCCTTCTGCACTAGCTCTCCCACAGCAGCAGTATGCTGGCTGCTACACTCCTCCTACATCTTTCTCTTCCTGACCCTCTCTTGCTGGTTGAAAAAAAAAAATATTCGAAACAATTCAATCCGATCATAAATCACATTGATCAGCTTTCTCACACATTGTTCAGTATTCCCCTGGACTGAGGGGGCAAACATTCATCATCGAAGTTTATGAAATAGCATTAACTTTACCCACTTGCAGAACAGTCCATATACAACCATGCTATACACAGTGTGCTGGCCACAGCAACAGCTGCATTCTACCGTTAGCTTAGCTAGCCTTACTAGCTTGCTAATAACATATTAGAAGAGTCAGATCTCTGCGTTGTTTTAAAAAAATTAACACAGAGAGGACGTGCTGTTCACAAACAGTCTGCCATCATGGTTTAACGTGCTTGGGTGTGAGAGAAAGAAACAGACAAACTGGTATCAATATATAAACGTGTACATATTCGCAGGCTCAATATGAATAGAGCACAGCACACAACCGACTGGGGTTTGTGGAGCACACAAACTGAAAAACCAGGCAGAGAAATGTGAGGACAATTTAGCTGAATATGACAAAATGTGTAATGACTTAGAATTGCTGACTATACCGTTAAGGTTCAAGCCTAAAGCCAACATTGGCTTCAACAGCCGCAGACCTCAGTGAACTCTAGTAACCTTATGTCTGGTGTGTACTATGCCAGATGACGCACATGACGTAATTACAGCATGGCATAAACGGCTTGCGGTGTAAATGCTTTTTAATATGAGCCTAGTGACACTTTGCCATAGCCATGCCACATTTTGTTACTTCAGTAGTACCTAGCTTACTTGCCTAGTTTTGCAGCTTCATCGCCTCCGATTAAAAGTGCACAAGTAGCTCACATGCATCAGTGAGGCTTGGTCATCTTATTAGACTCATCAAACCACTGGGTTTATCTAAGATAGCTACTCAGTAAACTCACATGTGCAAACACAGATAATTCTGCATCTATATCTACGAAAAGAAATCAATCTCTCCCACAATTGTCGACAAACGAGCTAGCTTAGCTAACGTTGGCTGACACCAGTTCCAACCGAACGTTAACGGTTGTGTGCAATTTAATGAGTACCGTTAGCACAAGGACAGAGTGAGGTGCCAATGGCACACCGTAGAATGCTAAGTTAGCCAAACAAGTAATGCTAGGGAGGGTAATTACATTTGAGGAGAACGCTGAACCCGGCGAGTTGGATTGCTTAACCCTCCTGTTATGTTGCGGGTCAAATTGACCCACGAACATAACTGCTTTAAATGAGACAAATATTTGATATGAAGAAATGAACATAACAGGAGGGAACCCTCCTGTTATGTTCATTTCTCAGGTGATGCCTGCTCAGCAGTTATGTTCGTAGGTCAGTTTGACCACCCGCAACATAACAGGAGGGTTGGATAACGAGTATCACATTCCCCCACATACATTATGTATATTAAAAAAAGCACCCTGACCTTTGCCGCTAGCTAACATTATGTTATGCTAGCTAGCCAACTACCGGTAACAGTCCGTTTCAGTAACGGTGCCCTGGGCTTACCTGAAAATTATATATTTGGGAGTCGAGCGAGTCGGTAGGTGTTATGCTTTTTCGCTGCTGTCTGCATAACTGTTAAGAAGCCCTACTTATGTCGCCCGTTTGTCGAAAAGCAATAAATAATACTAGAGGCACTACGACTTCCAAGTGCGCTACTGTTTGTCGGTTAAAACCCCACGTTTTCCTCAGAGCCCATCTGAAGGTGGTATGTCCTACATCCGGTCCGGTGTTCAACCATAAGGAGGGGCCAGCTTAACTGATGACTTTCAACCAAATGGGTCGGTGGTTGCTCGTAGTTACTACAGAGGCTAAAAACAGAAGAGGACCCGTAGTTGTCCTCGTGATTGCCGCTTTCTTTGGCATTTGGTCGTCAAACCATAAATACTTAATTCGTATTTTGAGTCTTATTTAAGTAAAGGTGTCACAAATACTTGAATCTTAATAGAGAAGGCTTCAACTACAGAGAATTCTCTGATATTTAGAGTTCATTCACAAAAAGAGAAGCTATATTATCCCAAAACGTGTGTAATATATCATTGCATGTTATCCAACTTTTGTGCATTATCTGTCACATAGTCTATTGGATCATTTTGTTTTTCTATGGTTTTGTTTGTGCCATGTCGCTGTAGATCGAGTTATTCTAACACGTTTAACCTTTAGTTGAACTTATTTTACAAACAGTCTAGTTGTATATTTTTCATCACTTTACATTTGAAATGGTGCACAGGATGCACACGTTGTGCCAGGCATGTTTCTGTTGCATCTCAACTTAACACATCGTTTCATTCCGATTAGTTGTGATGTTTAATTAACCTCGGACCTCTTTGCCATCTGGTGGTGTATGAGCGTAAGTTTGCACCGAGACTGTGGAGCAGAATCTGGTTAGATTTTTGAACAATGAAGATAAAGCATAAACTACACAAACAAATTAATCCCTTCTCTTAACATAACCCGGAGTTTCTCATTCAAACTGCCCTCTAGAAACAGCCACAAACAGGACGCCCTGTTCATTTTGTTTAATGTATTCAGGTTGCAGTTGGGCAGACGTGTTTGCATGTGTGGTTACCTGAGTCAATGTACTTTATACTGTGGATTAATGTTGGAAAAGCAGAGCTGTGTCATCTGTCCCTAATCACAAAACTTAATAAGCACCTAGCAAGGCAGCTAAAGATTGCTTGCTTGGTTCACCTTTGTTCTTCATTTCTTATTATTGTATTTCTTTACTATTAGCAATAATTGTTTTTCTCTTGCAGTATATGGATGTCAAGCCACCACCCCAACTAGGGGTGGTTTGCACTGGAGCTTCTTTACAAGGATGTTGAAAAAGTGTGTTGGTAAGCAGGAGTAAGTGCAAGAGAATGGCATTTATAAACAAAAATTTAACAAAGGCAGTAAAATAAAATAAAAACAGGAAACTAAAAATAAAAAATGAAACTAATAAAAGACTCGAACTAAAGACACAAGACTGCATGTAGACTCTCAAGCTGCCATCTTTTTTGACTGATATTTTACCTTCTCACCACCACTGCCTACCAACCTACCACCTGGTCAGGTAAGTACAGGGTGAGCTACACCAAAACAAACAAACAAACAAACAAACAAACAAACAAACAAAAAACTTAGCAGAAGGCATCCGGACATTCTGTAGTTTTAGGCCGAAGACATTTCACCTCTCATCCAAGAGGCTTCATCAGTTCTGTCTGACTGGTGGTGAGCAGGGGGTATTTATCCCACTGGGTGGTGTTGCAGTCCTTCCACACAAAGACAGAGCTTTAAAATCACACCAAATAATTCATAAATGGCAATTCAAAATATTACATCTATCACAAACCCCCAGCTATCCTTATGCACAAAACACCCCTAAGTGAAATGAAAAATAATGTTATTTCGGATAAATCCAGTTTACTTGTGCTCTTACCAGTGTCTAATATACCACTCATAGCTACAAGGACCTAATGACACTGGCCTGTCTCTACTGCCCACTATCCCTGATTGAGCAGGCAGAACAATGACATCACACACACCCCAGAGTAAACCCACAGGGAATAACACAACCAACTAATTTGTCAGTGTCATCCATCTAACCCGGTGGATCAGATTAACAAAACAATTAGGCTATATATAATGATTCAACAAACACCACGCTGCTGATATAGGGGAACGGGACCTAGTGAAAAGAACAGAATCTATTCACAACAGATAAGGTTAATTTGATTTAGTGATTATAAGTCTGTATATTTCACTCTTAGTTGTTATATGGATGTACATATTTAGATGACCCAAGTTCAACAATGCAAAACTGTTGAACTCCTGTATATTCTTCTACCCAGACCTGAGGCCCTAAAATAATAATAATGATATCACCTTTATGTGGCCAAGTATGTTACACACACAAGGAATTTGTTTCCAGTACACAACTGCAAAAGCAAAAAAGGTACCAATTGGAAGAATTATAAATATATTTAGGAAACTCATCTTGAAACCTAACAATAAATAAACAACAAGCATAAGATCAAAACACAGCTTCAGTAAAAGATTAAGAATTTATTTCTTCTCTTCTTATAATGCTCTGTATGAGAACAGCAGCTCAAGGTTTGGCACTTGACTTTCTAACAGTGTTTGAGGATCAACTATTACATTGGTACACAAATATTCATAATCAGTGTTTTTTCATCCTAACCCTGTTAAAGCTATTATTCAGCTTGGTCTCACAACTGGCTCTTTTAGTTATGACAGTCAAAAAATAAAACAATAACCATTAGTAAATATAGTAAAGATCATCTGTGCAAATACCTCAATTTGAGATGTTTAAGACATGGATTTAACGTGTTACACATCTGCTAGTTCAAGAAAGCTTTGAATAATTTAAAAAAGGAGGTGAAAAACATTTTTAAAAATCTTTAAAAGAACACTTTCGACATCTATTATTATTACTCTCAGTACAACTTCTCTAAAACAAAATAAAACCAAATATATGAAACTGGATAGACTACATACAGTATTAATTGCATAAGATGTCTGACATCTTATGGGGGCTACACATCTCAGCACTTACAATGCACCCAATCTGAATGTTTAGGGTGGCAACATTTTACTTACCATGTGCATTAATATCTTTATAACTATCACTGTTATCAAATTATTATATGCATTTTCACCAGAAGTCATTAAACCCTTTGCTTTTGATGTACTTACAATTCCTTCTGATAAAAACATTTTTAAGTTACAAGCACTGACTTACCATGACAGACAAAATAAGTAGAGGCATGAACATGGATACAACACTGGGTTTGTGAATCTTCTATTCAGTTTAACCAAAATAAGCTGTTTTATAGCAGGAAAAAAATTTCACCATAATAAATATGGGTAAGTAAATGTACACAATTAAACCCAAATACTGTTCAATAATCTTTTTTTTTCCATATGAAGGGTATGTGATGTCTACACAGGCCATAGTACAGATACATGGCAGTGACTACAGTGTGTTTGTGAGCAGTATGTACCTCCAACAAATGCTGCTGACCCCTCTCATAAAAACATAGTTACAGTTGTACTCCCTCAGAGATTGTGTAAGGCAGAGACACTTGACAGTTTGATGTGAAAATCGTACACGTCTGGCAGACTGCCCAGATTTAAGGCTGATTTTGTACCAGCACGATGTGAATTATCACAGAAACGTTTCAGTGTAAAGACTTTTGTAAAACCTTAGCCTCCACTACAATAGCAGGATCCTCGATGTCGGCTTTGCTCTGTACCATCCTCAGCTCCAGTTGTGCAGGACTGGGCCTTTTCCCGGGACCAGCCATCTCTGAAAGAAAGAAGATGGATGCTGGCTTAGTGGTTAACTTAGCAGTCAAAGGATAATAATACTAGTGGCTGACAAATTAGTACAGATTATGTCAATACAATATGAACAGTAAAAAGGGAGCAAACAAGCTCCCTTTACCATATGCCTGGTAAAAATAACTTAATAACAAACAGAAGACAGACAAAACAGAATTCAAAAAGCACACAAACCCTACCAGTGGCATAAGTAATGGTCCTCTTAATGACATGGTGCATGACTGAAACAGTCTTTTCACAGGCAGTCTGTGAGACACAGGAGGGAGACTACATAAGTTACACTGAGCTGGCATGTATTCCTTAAGCAGTGTAGAGAGATAAATTGGTTTCTTTCAGCTTTATAAATGAAAGTACACATGTGTTACTGACCTTCAGGTCCTTGGGGTGGTGGTGAGTCCAGGCTAGCAACATGGCAGCAAACAGGTCCCCTGTCCCCACAAATACAGCATCAACTTTGGGGATGTCAATGCAGATTTTCTGACTAGTGTTGGTCCCATCTGGCTTCACTACAGTGAGGAGGACAGACAGGGTAATAATATCAAAGAGAAGAGGGACGGCAGCTAAAACTGCACTAAGCAAATTTGTTATGAACAGGGCTTTTTATATAGTTGAACCTTGGCTAGGCTAAAGAAGCATTCCATCCCCATTACCTGCATCGGCACTGTTATGTCCTGTTTAAGGAAAGACTGGCACCAGTGTGTACTTAGTGTAAATGTTCACTCACAAAAGATTAAAAATCCCAAAATGTCTTCTCAACAGTTCAAGTGCTCTGTCTAGAGAAAGCTGGCCTCCTGGCACTCTACCTATTTTTTGGCTCCCAAATGCCACCAGGAACTGGTCCCCTTGTTTCGAGGGCAAGTCTGTACTAGTTAGTACCACGGTTTGCGGACCCATTTTATGAAGTAAGTCCATCACCTGGGGAAAAGATGGAGTCCCATTTTTTTTCCAACTTCGTATGTACTAATTTCACAAAATAAATCCAAATACATTAAAATTATAAATACTTCTGAGAATCACCTCAAGCGCATCTTCCTCTTTGTTCATTTTCCTTCCAGTTAATAGTCTGGGGGGGGGGACAAAAATCAAATAGGTATCCAAGAAAGACAAACTCATCTGCTATATCACAAGTGCAGATGCTAATCAGTTTTATAATGACAGATTAGCATCACATCTTAATTTACTTTAACCATCAACGACTGTTTAAAACTGTATTGTATCGTTTGTTCTCTATTTTCTTCAACAGTGATTACAGGTGCGCTCACTCTGCTTCAAACTGGTTGGGGGTGAGGATGTCAGCCAAGGGCACCACTATGTTCTTGTAGACTGGCAGCAGGTTTTCTGGAACATACTGAAACAGGCAGCTAATACAAGATGTTTGTTAAAAAACGTATTTTTAAATCCCCTTTACATGGGACAAGCTCTTTTACTGTACAATATGGCATTATTCCATAATTACAACAAATAATTACAAATGAAAGGCTAGCTGGTTCCTGAACTAGGAGCTATTTTTACAGTGTGCTTTGACAGTTAACTTTTTGAATAGTGTGCATCAAAAGAACAATTTGCCAGTGTTACAAATCCTTAAAGGCTGTATGGTGTAGAAAAGGACAAACAGGAATTCACTGTAGGATGTTTACCATAGCACCGTGGTCTCCCATAACAGGATCACAGACTGTGGAGAAGTTAAACAAAGATTTGGAATGACAATATGAAAAGCACATTCAGGACATTTCAAATTCAGATACCCTATCTTACACTCACCATATACCAGGCTGGGATTGTCTTTCTTTAGCTCCTGAATAATGTCAACCACCACCTCTAGGAAGGACTTGTCCCTGCTGTACCCTTGGGGATAAAAGCATAAAAACAATGGGGCGGAAATCAGCAAAGTAAACAGTTTAACTGATTTCACTGTACGTAGCTGTACTTAAAGAATTTCTTATTCCAGTACTATGTCTACTGTCATGCAATTGCTCAAATGCCAAATACCAGAAATCCAGTAAGCTGCAGTGGTAAAGTGTTACAACATCCTCTTCTTTTGTGAAAACATGAAATACTATGGGGGGGGGGAAACACAACCCTTCTTGCACAACACAGCACTACACCGTGGCGGTACTGAATTCACCACTTACTCAGGCTGCTGTTGAAGGGGACAGTATCGCCATCATGTTTGAGCATCTCCTTCTCTACATTTATTTACCCTATACTCTGCAAGGACACTCTGACGCACCTGTGAGGATGTAGTCATAGCGGTTCACCTTATTCAGCTTGATACCCTCATACAGCACATTCAGCTCCTCTGCTGTCAGTACTTGTCCTTTCCAGTGGGGGTAACCTAGGAGTCAAAAGGAAAAACAGGACATAAGGCATTTTTAAGTTCTTAGTGCTGCCTGGATTTCATTAAAACACTAATAAATAGAAGGAAAAAAAAGCTCATTATCAGCTAAAAAAAATTCTGGTTTCACATTGTGATGCGTCTGACTTTGAATTTGTAAAATAAAACTCAAGATGCTTTCAGGCTTTTTGAGGGTAAGACGCGCTAAGACAAAAAGGTCTTTACAAATTAATCAATAAAAACACTTGTATTGTATAAGCCCTGCTGTGTCCAAACCAAATAAGGCGATATTCCTCTCTTTGCTCTGATTTCCTATCCCCCATAGCCAAGTTCCCTCTGCTCTATATCCAGTGCCAAATGGGGCTTTCACACTGACTGAATGAGAGGCTTGTATCCTGGAAGCCTGCTTCCCCCTTTCTTTGTCTCCTGTCCACCATTAACCTAGAAACTCTCAATAGCTGTTCTCACTGCAAATATCACAAATTCACTTTGGATTATTCTTGATACTGAAGCACAAAATTCCCACAGAGGCCAAAATTGACCTTGAGCCAGTGAAAACGCCTCCTGTAGTGAGGACCTACAGCAGAGCAGAGGCATGTGCTGTGGTTAGAGGGGAAAGTGCATATTAATGCCTCCACTGAAAGTAAAAACTCGATATTGATGTTGTTTACACACACTAGTGTAAACTAGAAGCTGCATTAAAGGCTATACAGCTGTGTAATTTAGTCCATGTGTTCACCACTGTTCATTTCCCTCTGTCAGAAGAACAGATGTTTATATCCATGTGGTTTTTCTGCAGATGTCTCCAGCCCCTGTGGTGAAACAAAGTTTTCACATAGCTTGGAACATGAACCCCAGATCATACCATCTCTGCAGATGTCCTAGAGGACACCTCTGCTAGATGCAAAGCAGAGATCAGTAGACTCTTTATCATTTCGGAGACTGTAAAAAGAGATGGCTGTTTCTTAGCCTTTGGACTTTTAAAGATTTTAATCAGTTCTGGCAGCACAACATGACTGTTATAATCACATCAATTCGAAGTACGTAGAATGTTCAAGTGATTATAGAAATTATTATTCTGATAGCACACACTACCAGACAAAGGTTTGGATGCATGTTAACATTCTGTTCAATGGGAACATGTGTCCAAAAGTTTGACTTGTAGTGTACATCTTCAACTTTGCATTAAAGATCCTAAAAATTGTTAGATACAGAATACACAGGAAATTTGTTTTAATTAAATGTAAGAAAACAGAAAAATGTGAATGCAACCATGAGCAATACATTATTCATATTACACAACATACTGTAGTTCAGTACTTCAGTTGATATGTTTAGGTTTGGCATTACCTCTCTCTGGTTAGTAAACTGAAAACAGAGGATGGTTCTTAGAAAACAACTTGTTGAACTAAATACAGTACAATACACTTTTCTAAACCAGCAGACAGTTGACTACAGTGACAGTATTTCACTGAGTTAGATAAAGCAGAAGTCATCCAAAGGTTGTTTTTCGAACATGACAAAGTACAAGGAAGGTGATTAACTTTGTACATTGTACCCACACCTACACCAACTCATTGAAAGGTAAAAGGATGCACTGGAGTCTTCTTGTAAGCAAACAAAGTAGCAGTATTTTTCTCTTTTACTGACTCATGCTTTCCTATCTTTATGGTGCATTACAGCCAACAGTTAAGGATTTGCGATACTGCATGAAAACTGACAACAACTGTCAGCCCTTTAATTTGGCAGATACTGTATGATCAGACACTTCTGGGGAGGCACGGACAGGTTTGATTTACCTAAATGTCACAAAAATGTGAAAATGAAAAATAAAAGAGTAGAATTACTTTAATGAAGTTAAAAAAAAAAAAAGACTCGATCTACTTTGTGAAAATGAATAAAACCCACAATGACCACTCAGCCAACCTGTGTGATTGGAGAACTGGACCGAGTTGATTGAGTCCACTTCAAAACCCAGCACCTGAGGAAAGACCAATGAAGCAGCTGTTAAGTTAGAACAAAGACATCTGCATGTCCATGTCTAAATGGACTTCTGAAGTCACTGTACTGTTGGAACACGATGGTGAATTACGTTTATTGAATGTGAATCATTTACTGTCAAAGCTGTCTCAGTTTTTGTCCTTGTGATCATTTAAAAAAGGACCATACCTATATTTTTGCAAGTTTACGTCCATTTCACATAAAGTACACATACCACCAACACTGTACAATACTGTAGCATGCTGGGAGAGCACCGTGGACTTTACATACACACACAGGGACATGTCACACATGGACAGTGGGCGGGTTTTGTTTTGGGTTCACGGGTTCTTTCTGGGTGGGAAAACTGAGTTCATGTTGTTCTGTGTAAATAAAGCAGCAGCTATCTGGGGTGGTGCAGTGTATGGGGCAAGGAAGCCTGCATAAAAAGACAGTCTGACTAAAGTGTCATTCCTTAGCAAAATCTTCAGAATCCCTAGCTTGCCACAATAAAAGCTTTAGTTTGTGATTACTTTTTCCTGCACTTAATGCAGCCATGTCTGTGACCACTATGAAACTAAACTGAAAAGTTTTATATCTTGTTTGAGATAAGAACCATAAACAGATGCTCATGTCATCTTTTGTTGTTGTCTCTGCATGTTCATGTGCTGCATGTATTAAAAATCAAAGCCAGCTAGGGCTGTCAAAGTTAACATGATAACAAGTTAACTCAAATTCCTTTTAATGCTACTAATTTTTTTGATTCTGTGATTAGGACCCTCAGCCCATTCTGTACTTTGGGAAACCAGGAAGCAATGCAGCAGCAATGTTGTAGAACCTCCTTGAGCATAAACAGATAAAGAAAAGGGTCGTTTGAATGGAGTATGTCGAGTCTCAAATACCACATTGGGGATGAGGAGAGAGCCAGTGTCTCAGCCATAAATTCCATCCATTTTCATTCAATCAATGCTCTAACATGGTTCAGTCTACGCCGACTTTCTATACTTTGGAAGATGAACAAAAGTTTATATGAAGAAATAACACTGACTGTCTCACTAGCTTCCATGATGCTTTCTTTACAAATCTGTTTACAGGCGCAGGTATTTGACATCTCCAACATGATAATGCCAATTATGATGTACCGGATGGGAAACAAGCTCATCTGCTGGAGAGCTGAAACAATACTTAAAGTACTAAAAGTAAAAGTACCCATTATGCAGAATGGCAGGCTTCACATTTCTGCATAACTTATTATTGTGTTTAAGTGAGATTAATCACAAGCTAGCTATGGCCAATTGTGCGATTAATCACAACAAAAATATTTTAATTGATTGACAGCACTAAAACCAACACACAAAGGAACAGTGACATCACCTGAATAGCAATAGGGTACACACACACACACACACACACACTAATGGATTCACTAACATGCTAGGTTTAGACTAAGTCACAGACATCAGAGTCAAATGGAAATGAAAAGAAACCAATGTTTACCTAAAATCTTGAAGACTTAATTGTGCTTCTGAAAACTGCAAGATATGGTGTAAGGTTTGTCCTCAACATGCAGAAACACTGGTATTGTGCTTTAATATTGCTTTCTCTTCTGCATGAGAAAACCCTGATGCTACAATATATAACCTTTTCATAATCCACAGTTTCCTCTGGTAAATGAAATTCGATACAAAAGCAGTAGCATTTTAACAGTTAAAATTTTAGAATTGGTTTGCACTGTTTGCTACCTGTAGCTTCCCTGTGCAGTGTTTAGAATCAGCTGAAATAGTAACGACCAACCTGACTCTAACCCATGCTCACATTTCTAAAGGGGCATTTGCATTGTTTTATAACAGCCGGTCTTCCTCAAATTAAAGGTCGCTGGTAAGTGAGTATTAATATTTCACAGACACTGTCTATCAAGTTAACTTAGGTAGCCCATCTGAAGTCTAAAAACTGGAAAACGGCCTCTGATGTTGCCGGAGGGCAGGAAAGGTTGATTTCCCTTACACTATTCTCACAAATCAGGAAGGCAGGGCCTATAACAAACCTCTGTTTTATGGTGTTTTTCTCTTTCTTGATAACGAAACAGAGCCGTTTTACACCACCATCTGAATGTAAGCACTAACACTGGTCCTTACCTGCAGCGGGAATGTTGCCGACTTGTTCCCCACGTATCCCCTGACAACATGACTCTGAATAGATAGCACACGACACTCCATTACAGCAACTACACGGACTGCGTTTAAAAACACCGAACAAAGACAAGAGACGCACTTAAGTCCTAGAGCAGCATTAAAATGTATACAGACTGACACGCTGAAACTTAGCACATGAGGAATAACTCCAGCAGCCTACTGAAGGGCAGATGAAGCGCTGCTACTGCTACTACTGGCCGGTACACATTTTCTTCAGGCAGCTAAGGACCCCTAAACTGATGCATTCATAGGCTCCTGAGCGATGTGGGAAATAAGATCTTCTCACCAGAATAAATAGGCTACATGAGCTATTAGTTAAGAAAATAAGACTTCCTATGAGATGAGTCATAAATAAGATCCACGTAAAATCAATTAATTAACGGTTAAATGAATTACGTTTTTAAAATGTGTTATGCATAGGGTATAATTATAGTAGGCTATATTAAGACACCAAAAATTAATACAGCACAGAATATCTAGTACAGCCCAAAGCCTTCATTTTTATGCAATAGGATGTAATAGAACTACAAAGTGTCCAAAATAAAGAACACAAACTCATTTTCACAGTCAGATTTGTTGTGGAATTTCATGCCTACAACAAAATTCATCAATCACTGACAAAATACCCTAAGCAGTTTTCATTTTAATATTTATTATTATAGTAAAATTTAAGCTGCACCTGAATAAAGATATAAATAATTATAAACAGTTATTGAAAAATTACATGCTTGTCATGGCTGTGACTTTTGGTCAATGCCTAAAACGTGTCCAAATTAGGGCTGTGTTTATCAATGTTGGTCAGACTTCTAATGACCACTGAAGTAGCAGTAATTTAAAGTCAGTATGTAGCGCCCTCTGTTGGTAAATATCCACCAAATCTCATATTGGACCTATGCACAGCTTGTTCAGTGTTCGTCTTGTTGTGTCACTGGAGGACACGAGAATAGAGATACATTTTGTGCCCAAATTCATGCAAAAAAGTAGCCTATAAGCTAAAAAAATAAAATAAAGAGTGAAAAGCACAGAGAGGACACTTTTTATGTATGCTTATTTTAGTTATTATAGATGTACAGTACATAAGTAATGACATGAAGTGTAGAAAAAGGTTTTACCCACTTGAATTAGGTTGAATATAGTCAGATATAGTCCTATTAAAGGGATGAGTGTATTTTCTTGGTCTTTGTTTCATACCATAACATACTGTGCACAGCTGTGAGTCCATGAGACAGTAGCACTGAGAGAAAGGACCTCCCCATCATGTAATCTCACCAGTACAGAGACCCCCTTCAATCATCAAACCAAACCTTGCAAACCAATGATGATAAGATGATGTTAGGGGGTAGGACTAGATAAGTCTAACTTCTTCCTACTCCGTTCAAGCATGTACTAGGTATAAGCAAATTGATAATATACTTGTGGATATGTGTGGAATTATGTGTGTTGACATATTGACTGTTGTTACATGTTTGAAAGAATAAATCAAATCAAAATCAAATCAAATCATCCCATGCATTTTTTCTTCTGTAAATTGTGGAACACAAACACTTCAATTAATTCATCCAGCTGAAGACTGTGAAAACAGGTTCAATTGTACAGATCTGAAGACCTGTACGCAGACAATGAGGGGTTCTCTTATTCTACTGTTGATGTGTGTGGGTCAGGGGTTCAGAACGCGGAAGGAGAACTCAGGGTAATGAGTTTCAGAAGAGAACTCAAAAAGATGGCAGCTGAAGACCTGACTGAGCAGACCACAAACCACATAGCTCCTGACACCTGGGTGAGGAGCACAGAGTTCAGCAGAGACCAGGATGAGGGGTAGACACTCATAATTTCACAGATTTTCTCATTTTCATTTTACAAACAAAGCTGTACAGTGTCTGTTTCCCAACTAGCCTGATGAATAAAAGAGATGGAGCTTGTTTGTATTATTGAATCCATGGTGGCATCCATCCATACTACCTACATTAAAGTCAGAACACTTGGAGTCCTCAATCAAAGTTTTCACTTTATCAACAACTACATAAATACCAAATATCCCTTTTAAGCTTGGTAGTTTTATATTTATTGTCAAATACTTCTTAGGTTTCCACTGTTTGTTCAGCTTGCCCCTGTGATACTTTTACTTAGTGGGTTAACTAAGTTTCTCAGAAGCTGAAATTTGATAAGCACTCTGCGTGTCTGCAGCAGCTCCAGAGAGAGAGATTTACAATTCAGACTGATCCATTTTCATGTGGATTGTTAATAATGATGCTCTAGAAAAAGTTTGTGTGTGTCAGTGCACTGTTGTAGGCTATTTATTTTAAACTCTGAATAAATCCTTAAAATGTGGCATGGACAGGATAGCAATGTAAATTCAATGAAACAGATTTCTATGGGATGTAAAATTTATGATTACATTTAAACCATGTTACAAGCCCATATTGTTTTCATTCATATGAAACACAAACCCAGTCTCCTTTTTTCCAGCCCATAAAATTAATGTTTCTGAGAAATAGACCTGACTATGAGCAAAACCAAAACAAATGACCATGAAAAATAGAATACACTAAAATATCCTGAATTATTCAATTGCATGTAACTTCATATAAAATACAAATTATGTGAAATGCCATTTTACAATGTGACTGTGTGTACATTTTATGGTCACAGCAAAAGATGGCAGGGTTCCATGTACAGTATGTATAGCTTAAAGCTGACTGAAATGGAAATAATCACTTAAAGTACAAATGCCTAAACTATTAAATGTGATGGTTTAAAAACATTTGTGGTTTGTCATTATGTTCAGCTACTCTTTGTGTTATAGTTTACACATTAATATCCTTATGTTACTTCAGTTTCAGTTAAATAGAAAAGAGCAGGCTATTACACTTCAGTAAATATGTATGAATGCGCACAGGACTGCGGTTCGGTTGCGGTTCACGTCCCTTTCTTAAGTCTTGTTGAGTACCCCTCCGCCCTGCGCAACGCGCCTCCATGCACGCAGTCTGGAACTAGACCCGCCTGTGCTGCTAAAGTCATGTCTGGGAGGAGTCAGACAACCGCTATATTGACACGTAACTGTCCTGCATAAATGTTAAAGAAGAAGGTACCCCTTTTTCCTGAAGTAGAAGGTGGATGTAGCTGTTTCGCTTTAGGCTTGATGTATAGTTGACCTATCCCGGAGCAGAGATCTCTCTGGACACTCTTGAAGCGAGGCGGGACGCTGAGAACCGACGCACAAGATGAGATTTAAAGCGTTTATTTCTGTCCTTTGGTCGGTCGGCCCGGTGGTAATCGGTATTTCTCTAGGATTCACATTGAGTTTACTGAGTGTTAACTGGACGGAAGAAGCGTGTTATCCAGACGGCAAGGAGGGCGAGGACGTGACTTTGGAGCAGGATGGGCTGCTCAAAGGAGCCCGAAAGCCCAGCTCCATTTCGAACGATGTGCTGTCCGAGGAGGATTTTCAACCAAGAATAGTCCCATATAAACAGGTCCAACAGAGTGCCCCGAAGAAAGTTTTCAGGTAAGATTTGCATTCACCTAAACCGGTGAATAAATTCCCCAAATAGCCTGACAGTATATTGCTTCTGTTTATTTTAATACAGGCCAAATAATTATACGTTAGTAACGTTACAGCAGGCCTCAGCGTAGCTGATCCCTAGCCAATGAATCAGTGTTTGTTAGTCCACTTAATGCCAGACCTACAGGTGTCACTGTCTGTAATGTGGCTACGTGATTTATAACTAGACACCAAATGAATGAATGAATGAAGCTAATGAAACCAAATAAAATTTTAGGCATAATGTGCTCTGCTGTCCCACCTCCCTGTTGGTTTACATCCTTTGTCATAGAGATAACGAATTACCTGCATATTCTGTGGTATGTCTCCACGCCGAAGGATAACCGCCTTACATTTATTTCATAAAAAGAGGCAAACATTTTCAAGATTTTTTTTTTTTTTTTTGGAAAGAGACTTTGTTTGAATATGTCATCACACCCAAAGTGATTGGCAGGGCTGCATCAATTAATAATGACCCGATAAATCTCGATTACTAATCGAGATTAATCGATAATGAAAACAAACGTATGAAATATCTGAAAGTAGTGACAAAAGCTCATCACAACTATCCAGAATCCAAAGTGATGTGTTCACATTTGTTTCGTCCAAAACTCAAATACATTTCTATTACAATCATGTATGAAAGGAAAATCAACTAATTCTTGCCAATGAGAATTTTCTTTCAACAAAAGCTCCAACTGATGCAATATACAAAGAGAGAAAAGTACAGCTGAATCACGGTTACAGTGACAAATCACACTGCACGTTCTGGCATGTTTACTTTTCCACAGAGCTTATGGGTAACCTTTTGTTAGTCTGTGTTGGGATATTTGAAAACTTAACCCAATTTGATGAACTTTGGTGGACAAAAACACTGAATTATTATGGATCCTGTCAGGTCCGCTCGCCGCGACCTGCCTCTCTTTCTTTTTTGCTCTCCCTTTTTGCGGGATCAACGCCTCAGCTGTGTCGCATCGGGTAATTAGTGACTCGTGGGTCGGTGCGCACACCTGAGGCGTATTCCGGTGATTTGTTGGCTTCCTTATTTATACCTCTGGCAGACGCCCCGTCGTCACCGGAGCATTGCGATATTTAACAGACAATACTTACCCTAT